CTCTCTCTCTCTCTCTCTCTCTCTCTCTCTCTCTCTCTCTCTCTCTCTCTCTCTCTTTCTCTTCACAGACGCTCTGCAGTGAAACTAATCAAAATCAATGACTCCTTGGCAGCCGGAGAAAAGGGGTGGGGGGGGGGGAGAGAGAAATGGTGCCAGCACTTTGCACACTGTGGAAATATTTTTAAAAGAAAACCACCACCCCACTATCTCATGCAATCCAAGTAATGCAACAGGAGAGACGGCGAAGATATTATATACACAGAGATCATGCATCAATTTCCTAATACAAATGTCCATCAAGAAGTCAAATCTCATATAAAAAACAAGCATTAAAAACAACCCCTCGTCAAAAATCGGGGCAGTTGAGAAGTGCACTCAAATTAATGATGTGCAAGAAAAAGCTGGAATTAGATAAATACACGGTTTCTAATAGTACAAGAGAATATGTACAAGGGACTTGGCTGCAAAGCTCCGTCGGAAGGTCCTGGGTGCCCAGTTCTCTCAGCGATGTGGCTCCGTTGAAATCAAAATTGCCCAAAACACCAAACGCAGCATTTGGAGTTTGGATCCTCCAGCGGAAACATCATAAGCTCGTAGGCCAGTCCGGGTTGAAAAAGGGGTTCTCTGACCTTTCCGCTTACTTCTGTGCCTAGTTAGTCAGCATATCCCCACCCCGGTCTTGAAGGTGCAGCCTTAAAGCAGCATACAGCTGTGATCACATCCAACTATAATCATGGAACACCCCTCCCCCAAATGGGGTGAGCTGGAAAGACTCCGGTGTCTAAATGAAAGCAGAGAATGCCTTTCATGTCATTCTAATTCATTTTGCCTTTTCTAAGTTTGTGGTTTGGAGTTGGGGGGGATGTCACCTTCTACTCTCTGAACCCATACCTGCACACCCATCCCCTGTATGTATAACTGCAGGGAGGCCTCCAGCAATGAAATAAAACAAGTTCTCCATAAACAAGCTTTCCTTTTCGCTAAGTTCCAGTCTGTCTGGGGCTAGGGGGTGGGAACTGCCCTCACCTGTAGCAGTTTGGGTTGCATTTTCCTTTAAAGGGCGGTTTAGGAAAACATCAGGCACAGATTTTTATTTTTTTTTTAAAGCTCCCATCTTGCAAGCAGCCCTGAAAGGTCCTACATTCTAAAGGGTCATTTTTCAGCAAAGTCTTAGCACTGGAAGGGTGTCTGCTACCCAGCCCAGCGGACGCCGTGTCCATAGGTACTGGGGGGTGACCTGCAAATCCAGCCTTGTAGCATGACCGAAGCTGCAGCCTGGCGCCTCAGCATCTCAGCTTTGAAAACAGCAGTGCGTGATACCCTGCACAGAGGAATAATACCTGTTTTTGTTGGACTTTTTAAAATGAAAGCAAAAAAATAATCATTGTTCCCTGAAGAGTCTTTGCAGCCAAGTCTCGGTCCAGCACACATCTTTTTTTAGCCCTTCTAGAAACTTCTGAAAATAGCAGTTCATGGAGGGGAGGGGGGAGGGGGGACGGGAATCAGACCCTCAGTCAGTGAGATGCTGGTGCATTTCATTTAAATGACCCAACTCTCTCCCCCCCACCCCACAACATCCCTTGCTTATAAATTACCTTGACCAGAACGTAGTCATTTCTTGGCTCTTTAATCCATAAAACCTAAGCCCTGAAATCCCCTTGGGGAGTGAGGGAGGCCATGGGCTGAACTCCCAGGATACTTTTTCTGGGGTGGAGAAGACAGCAAACAAGTCACATATGAGGTCAGCTTTCCACTTCATAACCAGCATGCCCCTCAATGCCAACCCGCTCCCCTCCTCCCTTCCAGAGCCCAAGGCTTGCTCCAAAAAACACCTCTGGATATTCGTTCCCACATAGAGAAAGACAAGAGACTCTCAAGTGGCACTTTGCCCTTGTCCCTTTCAAAAAAAGAATCCGAAACAGCAAAAGAGAAATCTCTCTTGTCCCCTGTCTGGCAACAGAATACCATGGCAGCACCAGCAGGAACACACTTAGCACCAGCAAAATGTAAGTGAAGCACCAGAGACACAAGATTGGCAGGGGGAAAAACAAATCCCATTTGTCTTGCTGTGACAGTGGGACTAGCCATCTAACTAGGTAGGTAGAGAGAGGCTAGGATTTGTCAAGACTTGGAAATGGAGGTCTCCCAGACTGCCCCTACCCATCGGCCTCGAGTCCTCCTCACTTTTCTTTCTGATTTTGCCCTTTTGCAATGTCACCTCGCGCGCTCCGCCAGCATCCCTCCCCAGGTGGTTGGTTGACTCAGGCTCTAATTCCCACCAGTCTTTGCAAATTTTCTCGGTAGAAAGTCGGCATCTCTCTTCCGGTGCCCCAGACACGAAAGAGTATCAAAGTTCACATCGGAAGGTGCAGAGAAGGGAGGGGACGTCCTCGACAAGGCATGCACTGAATAGTAATATTCATATTTTCTTTATATATATATATAGATAGATAGATAGATAGATATAGAGAAAGAGAGAGAGAGAGAGAGAGAGAGAGAGAGAGAGAGAGAGAGAGAGAGAACTGTATGTAAATAGCATTGGGGTGTCTGTTTCTGCAGCTGGATATCCAAAGGGCGTCCCCAGTCCCATTCCACGATGATCCTAGTGCCCCCGGCACTGTCTTTATTCTCCACTTCCTTCTCGAAGTGCCAACGCGCTGCCTTTCAAGCTCTGGGCTCCCCTTCAGGAAAATGGGAACCAGCTTTCTCCAAGGACACAGGGTTCTCACCAACCTGCAGAAATAAAAGATTTGCATTTCGGTCAGTAGGCACGTGCACACAGCCACTGGGGATGACGTCAGTGCCTTGGGCTTCTGCACAGCCAGCCTGCGTGTCAGGAGGTGGAGGGGGATGGGGAGAGCCGCTAGGTACAAAGCTCCAATTTTGGAGGAAAGGTTCCCCTCCCCCAAAGCTAGTCTTTGTGCTCCCCCCACATAGCAGCTCTGTCCACATAGCAGCTCTGTCCACATAGCAGCCTCCCCTAAACATACATCTGTGCGCACGCACACACCCCTCTCTGTTTTCAGAGTTAGATGTTTACACAGGCAGCTTCTAGGATTCAAAAAGAGACTGTGTTGCCATGCTACCTTTTTTGCTCCTCCCCATCAGGCACAGGATTTTCACCTATTCGTTTCATAGATCCACATGGAAGGCAGACTTGTAGGACAGTCTCTGCTCTCATTCATTCATTCATTCATTCATTGCCAAGCACCCTACTAAGTGTTACAGATCCAATGACACCATTCTAGCCTTTGAGGGACTCAGGCCAAAAGGGGGAGATGGGAAGTCACTGATAATGACAGTGTCACATGAGGCTCCTACAACCTGGGTAAACATGGGCTATTGGAGCCCAGGGGAGAGGCAGCTCCTGAGGGAGAGTCAGAGAAAGCTCCTACAGGAAAGAGGCAGATCTCTACTGAGGACTGAAAGATGCCAGGCATTAGCCAGGATAAGATGAGGCGCCCCAAGCAGGGCAGAAAAAAACGGCGCATAGCCAAGAGAATAAAAAACATGCATCCACACAAAAAAGCTATACACAAATGTTCAAAGGAGCGTTATCCATAGTAGCCAAAAAGTGGAAACCACCTAAGTGTCCATCAACTGATGAATGGATAAATACAGTGAGGTATTTCCATGCAATGGAACATTAGTCTGTCATAAAAAGGAAGTACTTACACGTGCTACAACCTAACTGAACCATGAAGACATGATGCTGAATGAAAACCAGGCACGGAAGGACAAATATTGTATGATTCCACTTCAATGAAATGTCCACGGGAGACGACAAATCTTTAGAGACCGAAAGTAGATTAGTGGTTGCCCAGGGCTGGGGGAGATGGGAAGAACTGACTGCTAATGGGTACAGGGTTTCTGTTGGGGAAACAAAAATGCTCTAAAATTGATTGTGGGGATGGCTGTACAACTCTGTGAATATAATAAGAACCATTGACCTGTATACATTTACAAGTGGGTTGTAGGGTCGGTGAATTATATCAGAAGGAGGAGGCGGCGAGGAAGCAGAGGAGAGAGACAGGGGGTTGGGCAGGAAGGGAGAAGAAACAAGAAACAGGATGAGGAAAGGCACAGAGGAACAGGACATCACTCCTAGGTCAGGGACCCAGTGGGAGCTTGATGAGGCCTGGGGACAGATGAGGTGAGAGAGTTAGCAAGGGCTGCGAGTTTGCAGAGGAGATAAAAACACTTCACACGTCCCCCTAAAGCAGGTGGTATGAGAACTGCCATGAAGTTAGACAAGTGGTGTATGAGCGAAAGTGGGAGAGGGATCACTGTATTTCCTCCACCTTGGAAAAAGTCCAGGATATTGACCTGTGTGCACAGCACCAACAGGCTCCCTGGGCCTCAGCTTCCTCTAGTTCTGGTCTAGAAGGCCTTCATGGGCCAGCAAGGTCAGGGCCACAGAACGACCCCAGTGCCTGCCAGGCGGCTCCTGGTTCCGCTCCCTGCCCCTCGCCAAGCTCCAGGTCCTATCCTCTCGCCTCCCCGCTGCAGGTCAGGGGTGACGTCAGCCCAGTGGTACTGCGTTGTTCCCTTCTTGGTGTCCTAAACCCTGCCCACACTTCGTCATCAAACCTTGACCCAATCTCTGATGACTCAGTTTGGGGGTGCTCTCTGCCTCACTTGGACCCTGACCAATATGTGTGACGGCACGAAAGAGGTGCATCATACACGCGGACCCCACTCTCTACCTCAGCAACACTGGACCCCACCATCTCCATGAGCGGATAACCACAAGGATCCGAGTCAGTGACATCAAATGGTAAGGTCATGTCCCTCTGGGAGTTGAATGCAGATGATGAAGGGAAAAGAACCATAGCACCAGGAGAGGTGAGAGAGGCTGTATTTTTTTTTTAAAGATTTTTATTGGGTAATTGGGGGGATGGGAACAGTACTGGGGAATTAGGGGAAGGGGAACAGACAAGTTGCTGTCGTTTTGTTCTTCAATCTAGTTGTGGAGGACGTTGCTTCACTGGCCCAAGTTGGCACCATCATTGCGCTCTTCTCTGGCGAGGCAGATCAGTTGCCGGCTTCTGGACGGCCGCTCACTGCGGCTGCTGGCCGCTCACGCTGGCTGCTGGCTACACACGGTAGCCCATGGCAACCCACTGCCACAGGGACTGCAGCCTACGCCGTCGCCAGCGACTCACGGCAGCCCAGCTCCAGGTTGAGCTGTTGTTCAGCATCTTAGCTGTGGAGGGCAGTGTCACTGGCCCTCATATGTGGGATCCGAACCGGGGCCCTTTGGCATCCCAAGCGAGTTCTTAACCATCGCGCCACTCGGCCGGCCCCGAGAGGCTGTATTTTTAAAGCTGTGATTGAATGCATCCATGAAAGGAATGGCATTTTCTTGCAAAACTAGGCAGGACCAGCAATGATTCCTACCTGTAAATCACTGAGCTTAGGACTCTTTCTAAGGGTTTCCCGGGGCTGCTAAATGGATGAATTCCCACGCCCACGTATGTGTCGGTTACAGGTTGATGTCCATAGGGAAACGGGCACACCCGAAGCCCACCATCGCACAGCACTGAGTGTGTGTTCCCCGCGCCCAGTCCCACAACAGAAAGTGGGCCTGTGCATACACGTGGGGGATCTTAAATAGGGCACCCTAAGCGAGGGATCTAACCCACAGAAGTGGTGACACAGAAGTGTTGAAGGGTGTTCCCGCCACCTTTCGTTGTCACAGCAGCAAACATCGATTGGAGACTGGATGAACAAACTAAGCTACGTGCACATTAGAGAGAGGTCGCGCTAACCAAGCTGAGACAGAAAGATAGCGATGATTCTTCGCTGAAAAGAGCAAATGGCCAAATAGCATGATCCCAGATCATTTTTTTCCATGAATGAACACGTGTGCGTAGCTCCTATGAAAAGGTGTGGCAGAGCGGCAAAACAGTGTAACGGTTAATAGCACAGATGTTGGAGCCTGACTCGAGATGGAATTTTGATTCAGACCCATGAAAGCTGTGTGACTTTTAGCTAGTTATTTAACCTCTCTGGGCCCCACATTCCCTTTGTGGAAAAGGGGAGAGAATAATAGCGAATCTCATTGTGTTGATGTAAGGAGTAAAAGTATTAACCTATGTGAGGCGTTTAGAAGTCTGGCACATAGTAAGATCTGCCTTGGTCATTATCATTGTTATTATTTTATATACTCCAAATGGTAAGTTACCTCAGGGTGGTGGCTTTGGGGACACAGTAAAAGGGCACTTGCAGTGCTTTCCTTTATATACTTACTTCTGTATTGTTTATGGGTTTTTTGTTTGTTTTTTGTTTGGGGGTTTTGTTTTTGCAAGAAGCAAGTAGTAATTGTACCATTTAAAACAATTTTTAAAACAATTAGTCCACCCCACCCCCCGCCATGAGCCACTGTCCTGCCCCTGGATACTTTCCCTCAAATTTGGCTCATATAGAACTTTCTCAAATGCTGACGCACAACCAAAGCTCACACAACAGGAATGATTCATGAAACACCTTTAAAAAAAATGTCCCTATTTCCACTTTTCACCACAACGTGGAGGGGGCAGGCGGCAGAGGGGGAAAAAGGTGAACGGTCAAGGTCCTGCCTCCCTGGGCTGCCGGTGTGGGTGCTGAGGGCAGAAAGTGAGCCCCATTGCCACATTCAGTGACATGGGAGGCTCACTCCCTTTTCATCTGAGAAGAGGCAGGACTCTTGCGTTCCTTCCTAAGGGGCCACAATTTTTCATTAAAAAAAATATGTTTTTGCTCTTGCTATTTCCATACGTGGTAAGTTACAAATTCAAACAGAAAAGGCTATAGACATAAAAGGAAGGCTCCCTTCACTCCACCCCTAAGCCTCCCAAAATATCTTCTGTACATTTGTAGATGCCATGTTTCCCCCTACACCCTATCATTAAGTCCCGAGAGCCCAGCACAATGCCCGCACAGAGTAGGTATTCAATTCAACATATTGAACAAGAGTGAACAAGTGAGCATGTGACTAACGGTGGCAACTTGCCCTCTCTTCCGTCTTTGGTGTCAGTGGGTTGATTTTGCCCATGGAGTTCAGACGGTACCAGGGGTTGGACCTCGTACCTAGGACTCCTGGGAACAAAGCTCTCCACGCAGGAACCTTCCAAGAGGGAAGAAGGTTGCTCTGGTCTATGTCATTGATCAAATCTCCATCCATGGAGCTTATGCTGCCCAGTTAGGAAGTTGGATCTGAAAAGACTGTGGCGAGGGGACTGAAAGAGCAGCAGGCTATGTTGAGGTTTGGCAAGTGGGTCTTGAATGCCAAACTAACTTGACTTCCAGACAGGTAAAGCACTGAGAGATGGGAGACAGTTGCTCAGCGTGGAATCTCCACCAACTCAAACGGGCAGAAGCTTCTTAAAATAATCTTGCCGTGTGTATCATGTGTTATCACATGCCCATTCTTGCACCCAACAATTTCACCTCTAAGGAACTTTACTTTTTTTTTGCAAAGTTGTCCAAACAAGACTATTTCACCACACCTCATTTACACGATCAGAAAATGGGAAACAGCATAAATGTCCCTGGGGAGATGGCCAACTAAGTAGATCATGGTCCATCCAACAATGGGACACCTTGCAGCCATTGAAAAGAATGATGAGGGAGTGACTGGTTAGCTCAGTTGGTTAGAGCGTGGTGCTGGTAACACCAAGGTTGCCAGTTCAATCCCCGCATGGGCCGCTGTGAGCTGGGCCCTCCTTAAAAGAGTCAACTATGTCATTGTA